GAAGTCTTCTAAATCCCAGAAAGAGAAACCAGATGCAGGATTTGGTGGTAGGCCCTTCTTAGGGTCACTTTGGAAGTACACTGAGTTCAGAGGCACGAGACTCTATTTGGTCCAACAGCCTGGGGGCATAATCAAGGGTCATTTGCCTTGATAGTATTCCTGGACCAGGCTCGTGCTGAGTGACTGGTCAGAATGCCTGCTGCATTTCAGCGTTTGGTTGCCTCTTTGGAGTCCCAGCTGAGGGGTTTTCTTCTGGTGTGACTGATAAGCTGGAGTCTGTTTGAGCTAGGATCTGATAGTCTCAGCTGTCAGTTTATCAGTTTGTTTCTCCTAGTGTGCAGACAGATGGTGGGGATTTGCTTGTGTAAATAAGATGCACAGTCATTCTTCCTGCTACTTACACTCAGAGTGGAATAACTCAGGCTAAGGATGTTGCTTTATAAAGGGGAGTAACTCAAGTCTAGGCACAGTTGCCATTCTGGTCAATATAGTGACCCAGAGCAGGTCCAGCTGTACTCAACATCTCCCCAGGCCTCTCCCCCAGGAAGCCCTCCTTGGTTGCCCCTCTTAACCCCTTCCTTCTGATTTCAGGCCTTCTGATGACCCTCCTATTAATGAGTGGAGACTGACTGACCGATTCTTCTCTTCCCAGGGACCCTTCCGGGCAACCTGGAGGGGAGCTGATGCTTGGTGGGATTGACTCCAAGTACTACGAGGGGCAGCTCTCCTACCTGAATGTCACCCGCAAGGCCTACTGGCAGGTGCACATGGACCAGTAAGTCATGGGTGTGGCTGGGAGTGGGAATGTTATGTAGGGGTGGCATTCTGGAAGCCTGGAACTGTACCTGCTTTGCCATTTGAGCCTTCTCATTTTGTAACCCTGGACCATTCAAGGCCCTGTATGAATGAGTTGGTTGGTCCTGACAAAAAAGTAGCATGTATCTCCAGGGCCGGATCTAGACAGACTATGCCCCAGACTCTGGGACAGGGTGAGGTGACAGATACACTCTTGCCCCATAGGTTGGACGTGGCCAATGGCCTGACCCTGTGCAAGGGAGGCTGTGAGGCTATCGTAGACACAGGGACGTCTCTTCTGGTGGGGCCTGTGGATGAGGTGAAGGAGCTGCAGAAAGCCATTGGAGCAGTGCCTCTCATCCAGGGTGAGGTAAGCCATGGGCCGTTGTGAGCTGGCCAGCAGGTAGAGGGGGTTCCAGAGGCCACACCCTCAGTACCATGTTCTCTTTGTGTCTCTCAGTACATGATCCCTTGTGAGAAGATATCTAGCCTGCCCTCTGTCACTCTGAAGCTAGGAGGCAAAGACTATGAGCTACCCCCGAGCAAGTATATACTCAAGGTGAGTGGATGCGGGCATTGGCAGTGTGAATCTGGGACACCTTGGGTGAGATGAGAGCCGTGTGATCATGTGACTGTTTTGGCCTTGCAGGTGTCGCAGGGTGGAAAGACGATCTGCCTGAGTGGCTTCATGGGGATGGACATACCCCCTCCTGGTGGGCCACTCTGGATCCTGGGCGATGTCTTCATTGGCACCTACTACACTGTGTTTGACAGAGACAACAATAGGGTCGGCTTTGCCAAGGCTGCCACGCTCTAGCTTGCCCCTTGCCCACCAACAGGGAAATGGATCAGAGTCCAGTAGAGGAAGCCAGCCAGCCCCACCCTTCCACCTGCCCCACTCACACATGCACACTCACCTGGCGTTGCTGAGCCCTTGGGAGGCCTGGCTGGAGCTGGTCCAGTTGTTCTGTGGTTCTATCCCTGGGTTCAGATCACTACCCTCTACCTGTCTGAAGGAGGCCAAGGCCCACCCAGTGCAAGGGCTGCCTTCAAAGGCCCCTACTGGTTTGGTAGCTTGCCTTGTCCTGCTTCCCTTTGCTGGGGCGGGGGGGGGGGGCAGCATTCCAAAGCAGGCAAATGGGTCTTGTGATCCCTCCTAGAAACCTTCCCTGACCTACGTCCCTCACCCAGTCTGGGAATGACACCAGGCTCTACTGCCCCACTGTCTGTATCCTGGCCTGACAGAGGCCTGAAGATGAGCAGGAAGGAGTAAGAGGACAGAAGCAAAGCTATGAACCTGGGATGTTACTTGGGGCTTGGCCCCACTCACCCGGGAAAGCTGCCTTAGCCTGGGCCAGAGGCAGGATGGCTGACTGGTTTTGGCTGGCCTCTGCTGCCTTCATTCTGGGCTATATGGCTGGAAGCCAAAGTTGGTATACAAATAAAGTTGTTTTGGGCCTCTTTCTCTCTGTTGTTGTGCTTTGTACTGCTTTGGAATTCGGGCCTGGGGATGGAGCTAGCTAGACTGGGGAGACCCTGTGCTTCTGACGGCTCATTCAGTGTCAAGCTGGCTGGGGGTGGGGTATGATGGGGCTAGAGCCCAGTTTTGACTTTCAGGGCCAGGCCAGCCCACAGAGGGCACTCTCAAGGCTCTGGCTTGCTGTCTGGCCTTGTGGGCAAGATGAGTCTGGGCTAGAACTGGCAGGTTCTGGGACCTCAGGCAGTAGTCAGCAGCCGGATGTGGCCTTGGCTGGAGACTGGGACAGGCCTAGAATTCTGGGGTAGGGCCTGTTTTGAATCATTTTCAGAGGTGGCCAGGCCAACACCTGCTATACTTTGCCAGGAAACCAGCCTGTCCCCAGAGGAAATGGAATGAGCCCCAATGGGTATCTAGGGCTCCATATACATTCCCTTCTCAACGGTAAGCCCTTTAGCTATTGGGTGCTATAGGCAGCCTCCCTCCTGCCTGGGCCTCTGCCAGAAGCAGCCTTCTGCTTTTAGAGTTAAGCTAGTGCTGGAGCCTACCTGCCTAAGGTCTTTGGGTTCATAAGTCAGAACTCCCTTGTCATGGGCTGCAGTCACTATGCAAGCGTTGGTATGAGGGTTGGGTCTCAGGAGAAAGGGGTTGAGCAAAGGTTGAAATAAAACAGTGAAAGGTTTTAGAGAGTAGGAGTCCTTGAATCCTTACTGGATGGGCAGGGATTCCTTTTGGAATCAGTAATTCTGGTATCTTGGAGCCCCTTCCCCATACCAGCAGGTGCAGGATATAGGGAAGTGTGAGCTTTGGTACCCTCTGGGGTTGTCCTGGCACACTTTACCTCCTGGATAGTGGCTGTCATTGTCTCAATAGGAGTTTTGGGGGACTATGTTTCAGAGCTGAGCAGTTTACTAAGGGTTGCCAGAAGGCCAGTAAACATGTGCCCAGTGTTCTCTGAAATCTGAGCTGGAGTCCTGCAGGGCTTGGCAGGGCTTCTGGAGACTAGTGTTATCAAAGGCGTGTGCACTAAAGCTGAAGACAGCTCCTCCCTCCCCTGCGGGCCTGAGGCTGAGCTCCCAGGCCTGCATGCGGCTATTGCTGCTGCTGCAGCCACTACCACCACCCAGGGATGCCCTGGGGATGCCCTGGAATTTAGCTCCAGGTTCAAATGTCTCTTCTAGCTGAATGACACCCTCACATCAGCCTCCAGTCCCCAGGGAGGAAGCAGGACCCTTGCAATAGGCAGGGGTAGAGAGGCTGCCTGTAAAACACTGCACCCTAGCTTTCTCATGGTGGGGGTTTCTTCCCTTGATCCCCAGATCTAGGGGACAATGAGGCATGACCATACCCAAGGCTAGCCCTTTCCTTACCAGCTGAGAGTTGGGGCGCTGACTCCAGAGCCCTGAAGTTGACTTTTGGGAAAAAGGCCCTGATTCAGCCTCACCTTGCCAATGACCTTGAGCTGACCCTGCTCTGAGGTCCAAAGGACCCTTCTGCTTCCCGAAGTCTGAGTCTCACAGGCCAGCTATGCCAAGGGTAGCACCTTATCCAGGTTGTGTGACAAGGAGAAAGTCAAGGGTGTAAGTGCATGGAAATTAGTTACATGGTACACATACAGGCTGGGGAGGACCTTCCTCAATTCAGACCTCAGCAAGTCTGGCTGCCAGGCCCTTGGATCCAAAGGAGTGGTGGAGTTGGGTGAGGGAGAACCAGCTTTCTGGCACAGCCCATGTGCCCCCAGGCCCATTGGCCCAACAAGGCTAGGCTCCGCTAGGGAGTGTCCAGAAGAAAGCCAAGAAAAGGAGGGAGGGGTCCCAGCCTGCTTGGAAATTAATTCCACCCACTCAAGGAGGTTCTTTTTCTTTTCCTTTTTTTTTTTCTTATCTATACTTAAGATCCATTTCAAATTGAAAATTCCTGACATGCAGAACTGAGTTGTGCCAGAGGTCAGCAGGGGTCTGAGGTGGGGTTTGGGCTGGAAAGGGAGGATCTTGGCATGGGCAGGGCTTATCCAGGAGACAGGGCTTTGGAGAAGGACTCAGGGTTCCAGTACACCAGAAAGACTAAGGGCCCAGGCAGCCCTGGGCTCGTCTGGAAAGGATCCCAGAGAAGAGGGCCAAGAACAAGGTTCTTGTACACAGGTTGGGGAACTTGAGAGTAGGGTGAAGACCTACTGAGACCCTACCCCTGCATGGTGAGGTCAGGGGCCCAGGGGACGGAGGACTGTTGGGGGTCTTCCATGGTGAAGGGAGTCCATTGGGACTTACTTGGAACTAGGGGTTCAGTTGGGGAGAAGTGTCCTAGAGAGATTGAGAATTGGGGGAGACATGGAGCTAAGCCATAGAGGACAGTATTGCTTAGGGGGGGCAAGTAATGTGTAGGGACAGAGAGCACTATCAGGAGACTGGAACCCAGGATAGGGGTTTGGAGGCTATGAGCAGATATAGGCTGAACTCCAAGGAGACCCATGCAGGGGTCTCTGAGAGGGACCAGGGTTCAGGGCTTTGGAGTAGGATACCTGGCCCTGGGGGCAGTGGGGGAACTTACTGTGCTTATTGTTATGCGTCAGATTCTTTCTTCAAGCTGGGTTTATGACGAACAGGATTAACACAAATGAACCAGGCTTTGATGGGACCAGGCTTGGAAAACAGGAACTCCAATCCAATTGGACTGGGCTCCAGTTGGGGACCCAAGGACAGGGCCTCATGGAGAAAGGGCAAGAACTACCATGAGTACTGAGGGTGGCAGGTGGGACTCAACAGGGCAAAGGGAGATTAGAGGTAAAGGGGTTCTGAAGGCACAGGTCTTGGAGCTAGCAAGGCTCAGTGGGAGAAATACAGGAAGAGAGTATCAGCCTTGGGAACACGCTAGAGTGCTGAGCAGGACAGACTTTGCCGGGACCTGAGGATCCGTGACAGAGTGAGGACAGGTGGGCTGGGGTAACAGTTCCGTAGTCGGTGGATATGGGAACCACCCAGCTCTTGGATTGCAGGGGTCCCAGCTTCGCCCAGCTAGCGACTCCCCGGGGTCCTGGCTTCCTTGCTCGCGGGCCCTCTCCCTCCCTAGGGAGGAGGTAGAGGTGTCTGCGACGCCGCTGTGAGTCAGGCTCTGGCTGCAGCCGCGGCCGGCCTGGCTCTGCGGAGCGCGCGCGGGCAGCGGGGGAGGCAGCGGCGCCAGCTCCGCTCGCTCCCCGCCCCCAAGGTTGGGCCGCTGGGACGCGATCAGCGACAGACAGCGGTCCGGGACGGCGGAAGGACGAGCGCTCCGAGGCGCAGGGGTTTGGCCCTCTCGCCGCCGCGTTGCCAGTAGGTGAGCGGTCCTGGTGGCTGCTGCAGCCCGGGATCAGACTAGGGGCCACCCAGCACGGCTGTAGCCCCCTACTATCTCCTCACGGGTGTCAGGTGCGCCCAGTGGCTCCGGTCTCAGGCGCCTAGCTGTCTCTTGAAGTGTCCATTTCACTGAGTGTCATTGTGGGTCTGTTGGTAGTACGGGGGACAGGGGAAGGTGAGTGGATCCGTGTGATGGTGTGTGCTCTTAGGGTACCAAGTGCCGCTTTCTGCCGGGCTTGGGGGCGATGTGCTCGAGTTTGGAGCCCCGCACCTGCGCGTATCCTTCGGAGCTGTGTCTGAGCCTGTGGGGTGGTGTGTGTGTAGTGCTGCGCGTCTTGGTGGGCAGTTGTTTACTTGGCGCGTCTGTGCGCAAGGGTGTGCTGGGACTGGAGAGCTCAGCGGGTGATGATGTTTGTGGTCCGTCTTGGTGTGTATGTGCTTCGGCAAGAGCTATTCATTCTGCCAGTCGGTGACTAGAGCAGTGTCACTGTAGGTCTGAAAGCCGAATGCGAATGCACGGGGATGCAGGGGAGCTCTGCTTTTCCGCAACAGGGTGTCAGTCAGGGTGCTGAGGGGGTGTTGTTGTGTGTGTCAGTGGATGCAGATGGCAAAGCGATGAAAAGCTCCTATGTGCTTGCCAAGGCTACTGCGAATGGCTTTGGTATTGGCTGTGGCCGGCTGGGTGGGGGAGGCAGGTGGCAGGCAGGCTGGCAGCTGGCAAGCTCGCAGGGATTTCCATCTCCCGAAGGCCATTTATGAGGCTGCAGGGGAGATGCCGTAAGGTTCCAGGGTAGGTGCTGCTGGGCGCTCAGTACCCAGCTTCTCCTCACTCTGTCCCTCCCTCCAGGCCCAGGGCCCCCAGCCAGTCCCCAGCCCTGCTGGGAGCCCCGGCCAGCACCACGGACGGCACCCAGGAAGCCCGAGTCCCCCTGGACGGGGCCTTCTGGATTCCCAGGCCACCAGCAGGTTCACCCAAGGGCTGCTTCACCTGTGTGTCCAAGCCTCCTGCCCTGCAGGCTGCAGCAGCTCCGGCCCCTGAGCCATCGGCCTCGCCCCCCATGGCACCCACTCTGTTCCCCATGGAATCTAAAAGCAGCAAGACTGACAGCGTTCGGGCATCGGGTGTCCCCCAGGCCTGCAAGCACTTAGCTGAGAAGAAGACCATGACGAACCCTACAACAGTCATCGAGGTCTACCCGGACACCACGGAGGTGAACGACTACTATCTGTGGTCCATCTTCAACTTCGTCTACCTCAACTTCTGCTGCCTGGGCTTTATTGCTCTGGCCTACTCCCTCAAAGTGAGCCTGGGTTGGGGAGGGGGGCAGGGTTAATGGGGCTAGCAGGATGGAATGTCTTTTAGTGGAGCCCAGGGCAGAGTATGCAAGCCCAACCAGGAGATCTGTTATGGATTCAGAGAGGTAAGGCTGCTGGCCAGGTCTGGACTTGCAGCAAAGGGCCGCTTCCCTTTCCTAAACTGAGAAAGCTTGATCCAGTTTGGAGAGTGGGGTAGGGTTGTCTGCTCTGTACAACTAGCTTAGTTAAGCTATTGGGAGTAGGCCCTCCCTCAGAGCTCAAGATCCTGTCCTCTGGCCAGGAGACATGGGAGTCAACATGGCCAGTAGCCACACCTAGATAAATGGGATGGAGGCTACCTGGAGCCAAGGGACTTGAAATCCTATGAAAAGCAGAGGGGTAGTCGCAGGGCCCTTGCAGAGCCTCTTATGTTAGCTCCTCCCTGGGGGGTCCGTTACCAAGCACTTTGCTTGCCCAGCCAGGTGTGCGGTAGAAGGCCAAAGTCTGGTCTAGGGGAAATGTTGGAAAACTCATACTGTCTCCACCCACTCTGCACCCCACTGTGGCTACAACTTCCAGGACAAACTCCCCCTTGCACTGTGAATCCGTGACTGGAAACAGAACAGCATAGCAAGCCTGTGGCACCCCTCAACTACCCCTGCCCCTTCCCGTGGCAAAGTGAGGGAAATGAGTACAACTAATGCGGCTGGAAAAGCTGTGATAGAAGGCTTCAGAGTGGCTCAGCCCTTGTGTCCCAGGTAAAGACTGAGTATCCTTGGACTATCAGAGCCCCACCAGAAGGGTGCAGGGATGATGCCTGGGTGCCCTCCTCCCATCCTGCATCTCCAGAAGGAAAGGCTTGGCTCGCATTTACACAGATCATCACTTCCTGAGCCCAGACTTGAATGGCCCAAGCCAGATGCAGTCCAGAGATTGCAGCTGCCCAGCAAGGAGGGGTGCCAGGGCCTAGGAGAGCAGAAGGGTGCTGCAGGGATGAAAAAGTGAGGACCAGACTGACCCAAGAGGAAGGATGCCCAGGCAACTCGGCCCACGACTCATCTGCAGACTTGAGCCCCACCCTGTCCTGCATCACATGACTAGCCACTAGGTTCTCCCCTCCTCTTCGTGACTCATGCTCAGCATACCATACCATCTTCATGCCTTCATTTCCAGGCCTGGGGGGTTGTGTACATGAGTGGTCATGTCTGTGACAGCCTGCGATTGCATGTGTGTACACATGTGCTCACATGTGTGTAACTTACTATGTGTGTGGAGAGTATGAGTGGGTACATTTGAATGTATTGCATGGGTGGATTTGTTTATATGGATGTGAGTGTGGACATTTGAGCATATGTCTGAGTGTCATTGTATGCATGTAATCATGTGCATACATGTATGCATGTGTGTGAGCAAATGCAACTGTGTGAGTGTGCATGAATGTATATGGATATGTATGTCCAATTGTATGTGAGAGGTACCCAGCGTAATCACATACCTATATCCATGCCTTACATCCATTTAGGTGCATATCATGAGTGGACACATGTTTGAGTATATGTATGCATACCAATAATTGTGAGTCAATATGTGTTTGCATATAAGGTGTGCGTGTGTGTGTGTGTGTGTGTGTGTGTGTGTGTGCGCGCGCGCGTGCGCGCGCTCGCCAGCTTGTAATGAGAAGCAGCATGAGAAGGGGACCTAGGAACTTGGGATGTCATAAGAATAGCTCAGTTCTGTTCTCTGGGGCAGTGCCAGGCAGAGGGCACCATTGCCGGGTTGTTAGAGGAACACAGCCTCCCCTGGTGCCCTCTTTCCCTACACTGTCTACAGGCTGGGGATTTGGGCATGGCTGCCTGGGCTCTGGTCTGGGAGCTGTCCCCTCCTCCCCTGGCTCAGGCTGTGTCCGGCTGGCTGGGCAGGGTAGCCCATCTGGTGTGGGTTGTAGGTAGGTCAGGCATTTCTGGATGGTTATGGGTTTGTACTGGGATGTGAGATTGACACTTTGGAGAGAAGGCTTACTATCTCTCCCTTGTTTTGTTCCCTGAGGTCTTCCCAGGGAACAGTGAACAGGCCTTGGGGCTTCTTGGAGGGATGTGCAGGGTCAGCATAGACTAGGCTAACTCTGACCTGATGCCTGGAAATCAGTCCACCTGTGTATCTAGCTGCAGCTTCCTGATCAGCTGCACCTGCCACTCATGCAGCCCAATATAAGCATGTCCAAGGACAGCAGGTGGACCAGGGGTCAGGAGGACTTGGCTGGTTTTCCAGCCATCTTTCCTTGCTCATCTGCTCACGGCAGAGATAACACTGTTCAAGCCATCATGTGATCAGGTGAGCTGGCAGACTGGTGTGAGATGATGGCATTTTTGCCTGCCCTGGCTGTCCATCTCCCATCAGGCCACCATCCATTCTTCCAACTACATGGGTCAGGTCAGCCCCATGCAGACTGCTCTGTGTCTAGGGAAGAGCAAGATCCAGTAGATCAAGTCTCTGTATACTGCCTCATAACTATACAGTCCCACTGTTAGCTGGACAGTACTCAGGATCCAATTTTGGTTATTCCAAAAGTCCCTTCCCAGTCCCCCATCAGCATTTTCCTGGGGAAATACAGAGCTGTGTGCACACAATGACTGGTAGGTATCCTCTCTTTTGTATGAAGCCTGTGTCTCTCCTGCAGAGCCTCTAAGGCCTTCCTTCCCTGGTCACATCTGCCTGAGCCACCCTCAGGACCACCCTTCCAGTATCCAAAGCATGGTGACCATCAAGGAGGAGGTCTAAGGATATTATTTGGCTGAACACAGGATGTCACCAGAGGGGACATATAACCTAGTATCTTAGAAAAGGAAAACATCACACTGAGATTGGGGCTAAGTAGGGGTCAGGATAAGGGCTTCTGGAAGGAGGCAGCATTTTCCATGGACCTTGAAGGATGGGTAATGGGAAAGTTTCATCTGGATAAAGGAGCGGACACTAAGCAGGAACATCCTCTGTAGGGAATAGAAGTGTGAAGGGCAGGAAAGGGAGTGCAGTGCAGCCAGCTGACGCTTGATCTGAGCTCAGGAGGCTTGGGGAACCTCCTGTAACAGGAAAGCCTGAAAGAATAGGTTAGGATGGTAGATTCTGGTTGGGTTTTGTAGGTATGAATATGTCCATCTCATCCTTTCTAAATATCAGTGTTATCAGTCCATCCATCTACTCATCCATCCACCCACCCAACCATCCATCTACCTAGCAATAGTATACCCATTCATTCATTCATTCACCCATCGACTTATCCATCATCCTTCTATTCATGAACCCACACACCCCCAAATCAGCTGTTCATCCTTCCACTTATCCATCCAATCTATCTACCCATCCATTTATGTACACCACACCCATTCATTTATGCATTCATCTATCCATGTACCATCCATCTATCCACATCCCACTCGTTCACATCTAGCTATTCATTTACCTGTTTACCCAATCATCTGCTCATGTACGCACTCATCCATCACCCACTCAGCCATCTATCCACCCACCCAGCAGTCACCTGTCCATTCACCCATTTAACCCATCTACTCCCCCACCCCACTATTCATCCATTCACCCTTCTGCTCATCCACACACTCATCCACCCACCCATCAACCTGTCAACTCATCCACTGGTCTACCCATCCACTCATCTACCATCCATCTACCACGCTATACCCATCCTCCTACACACTCATCTGCACGTCTACCTATCTATTCATCTACCCGCTCTACTGTTTATCCACTCACGTCTCTGCACATTCACAACCCATCCCTACACCTTTCCATCTATTCACTCACCCATGTATACAGTCACCTGGCCACTCACTCACTGTTAGATAGTAGAGTGACATTTCAGGCAACAACAGGTCACATATACAAGACTTCATCACCTAGTCGTGTCATAGTTGATTTGTGTATATACTCTGTGATGCTAACAGATGATGAGGCCTTCTGGAGTTCAGATACCCCTCATTAAGTAATCCATGGCTATGCCAATCTATCCTCAACTCTGTTCACTACATCCAGACAGCATCAGCCTTCTACCCACCTGTTGACACACAATCATTGGTACTTCTGACTCTCTCTTCTGCTGTCTCATTCCATCCTAACCAACCTTAACAGTGATCCACTAAACTATTTCCCTAAGGTCATTTGCTGATAACACTCCCACTTCTCTCACCAGCACTGCTGTCCTTTTGTCTTTTCATGCTTTGCCACATCCTCCCTTCTTTCCATCACTCCTCCATGCCAAGTAACATGTGTTTCTGTCACTCACCTCCCTCATTTGCATTCTTCCCCTCAGTTCAGCCATCCGTCTATCTGTCTTTCTTCTATCTTCTACCCCTGCATCCATTTATCCACATTAATTTTACTGTCTGAACTCATCCATCTACCCATCCATCCATCCATCCATCCATCCATACATACATACATACATACATCCTCTCCCCATTCCAACCTTCATAACCTCTGCCCCCCTCTCCTTGTGCAGAATTTTCCTCTGGCATCCATCTATCAGCACTCAAATCCATCAGCCTCTAACATCTGTCCTTTCTCCAGCCTTATGTCCACCCAGGTATCTACTCTCTTTTCTCCTTCACTCTCTCCTATCCCCCAACTTCTCTGTCTGACGCATCCACCAGTTTATTGGTCCCCATGTGGCCGTGAGTGTATTTGCACACTCTCACTTCTCACTTGCCCAACTGCACACCTCATGCTCCAGCCACGTGCTCGTTTGCTCCCCCCTGTGCTCCTCCAATGTTCTTCCCTCTCTTATTTTTAGACACTGACACACCCTAGGTGTTCAGATGTGGTGGTACATACTTAAAATTCTAACATTTGAGAGTCAGAGGCAGGAGGAGTTAGGATTCAAGGCCAGCCTTAGTTACATAGTAAGACCTTGCCTTTAAAAAAAGGGAAAAAAGAAAAAGAAAGGAAGGAAGAAAAAAGAAAAAACCCACAAGCATAAACATGAATCCTACTAATG